TATTATGTATACGATATTCTGTCTGTGTGTATGCCTGCAGGCCAGAAGAGGGCACCAGACCCCATTACAGATGGTTGTGAGCCACCATGTGGTTACTGGGAATTGAACTCAGGACCTTTGGAAGAGCAGGCAGTGCTCTTAACCTCTGAGCCATCTCTCCAGCCCCTTCAGGAAATTTCTTAAGGCTGACTCTCAATTTGGACTTTAAGGTTCCTGAATGATCTTTGAGTCTAAAACCCACAAAGAGGATATCTGATAAATGATAGCTACTGAGGTAATGTTTCATTTTTTTTGTTGACCCTATATCTGAGATAATGATTTCCCACTCCTAAGTACAGAGTGGAAATGAGAGGAAAGAAGGCAGTGAATTAAACAGCCCATCAGTAGAGTAGGAGGAACTTCTCAGGGCACCAGACACTATTGCTGTGAAAGAAGGTGTCTGCAAAATGTTCTCTAATCAGGTGAGATTCCCCTGCAGAAGCAGGCAGTTACAACTCTGAATCAATACCAGGCTGATCAAAGCATACCCAGGAATGGGCACTGTTGCCTTCAACAACCATGCAGGGGCAACCAGATGGACAATCAAGAACCAGGAAAGAACTAGCTGTGAAGCTTGAGTTTTAAAGTCATTTAAACAGAGTGGAGAGATGAGCTGAGACCTTAGGAACTACAAGAGATTTACAGTCTTCCTTTCCCCATGCACTGGCACTGTAGAATGCCCTATGTAGTGGTTATAGTATAAACAGAAACTACTCTATTAAATGATGCATTTCAAGTTCATAATGACAGATATCTTTATACTAAGTGTGATTTCAAATCTTCTAAATTTTAGAAATGTGTGGTTATGTAAGATTAAGTATGTGCAGAAGCCAGGAAACTTGAACGAGCCGATTAGAGGGCCTGGCAGGGCAAAACAATACATGTATTTTGTAAGTGGAAGAAAGAATAATAAACATGGAACAGGATAAGCAAAGATGAGGGCAGAGCAATAGTGGAGGGGGAGATTTTGGACCAATATAAATAAGAAGGACAAAATTCCTTAAGAATACTTGCTATTTTTTATTATTATTGTGTGTAATGTTACTTGTATGTACATGATTTAGGTACTTCTATGTACATGATTTCAGGGTTCACTATTTGTTACTGGAAAACCAACTAGGGAATTCCTCCCTGGTGAGGACTCTTTTGTCTTGTTCTTAGCAATACTTCTTCCTTGCTATAATATCTGGGACTCTTGCCCCTCAACACAAAGAAACTTCCCTTCAAAAGCAAATGAAACATTACAAAAAGCACAACTGTTCAGAACCCCGAAAACTAGTGTTGGAGTGGAGCCAAGTACCAGTTGATCTATCTACAATGTAAGTTTTGCCCTCTAGACTCAGGAAACAGTCTTGAGGCAGAGGAAGCAGAAAAATTGTAGAGGCCAGAGAAACTGATAATCCATGAGACTCCATCTGCTACAAAATTCAGGAAAGCTGCACTCATGAAGTCTTGACATGAAAGTCTATAAAAAGACACCAAGAGCCATATTAACATCAAAAGGGAGTCACACTGGGCACCAGGAATCCTGCTTTCAAGAATAACAAGGCAACTAAAGTTACATTTTTCCTCATTAAGCAGTAATCATGGGAATTTCAACCTCTGGGACATTTACAACTGGCCAGTGGTACCTCGCAGTCAATTATTGGATACTCACAAAATAGACTTTTACATGACAACTTTAGTCAGGAGAATTCCATGACATTTTTCCTGGGGCTATTGGGAGGCTGCTATTGTATGCGTTTGTATTGAGGTAAGCATGCAGAGACCATCCACCATAGACCATAACTAATGTATGCATTGTTCATTCCACCACATTATGGAAATACATGAAGATTTTGTTGTGTTGGACTTCATTGTGTTGGATGACCACACCATGGCCTACAGGAGAAAGAAGCAATGGCTCATTTGGCATCAAACATTATGTATAACTATTTAGTCAAGCATCATCTGAAAGAATCTAAACTACTCTAAGAGTAATATCTTAAAACCCAAATTTACTGCTAGAAGTACTAAAAAGATCTTGAGTAAAAATATCTAGAAATTGCTCAGGAAATCAGGAGAAGCTAGCGGTTGAGTATGCAATAATCATTCAGAAGAAGATAAATGAGGACATAATATGTTTTATACATAAAAGGGGGTGGTTATATGAAGAGAAAATTGAAAACGCTCATCAATGAGTTCAATGAAAAGGATGGATAAGTGAAACCAAGAGTGAAGAAAGAAGTTATCTATACTCTAGCATGAGTGACCCACAGAAATCAGGAATAGTATGATGCTGAAAGCACACAGAAATTACAAAGAAAATATTTTTGAAAATTGTTCAGTTTCTTATTACTGAAAAAAACAAAGCTTAGAAGAAAGCCAAACAGTAAGAAAAATCATCTTTAGATAAAGAATAACATGACCCTGAGTACAAGCAAAAGCAGATAATGCACTCAAAATCTAAAGACATTGAGAAATACAATGTTTTAAGATTGACAGATCTTAATCTTCAGTTATGGAACCCACGGATCTGGATCATAGCTATTCTACAAACAAGAATAACAAGCATGTCGCCACTCATCATTTCTCAAAATAAGGGTCCTGTAAGAAGGGACTCTATAACAAATAGTAACTAAAATACATTTGTCTTGAAAGTGTTCCTTGTTCTAGCAAATATTAACAAATGACATAAAATGCTTTCCACATTGGTAAATTTCTTTCTATCTGGAATCCTGGGGAGTTACTCTCAAGTGTTTTTCTAATGATAAATAATTTGAGATCATTTCTAAAAAGAGGATTCTAACATACCTATGTTGAATAAGACAGTAATATATTCCCAAAATCATATGGACTAAGAAAAACGTCAAAATGTGCAATATTGTTTATGGAGGACTATATTTATAAAATCCCTGCACAATTATAATGTGGTCTAACCTCTTAAGTGTTACCAATATGAGTGTTCCCTTCAACAATGCAACAGAAGTCTGCTTTGTTTATTTAAATACAGGCTATTTTGGGCCATATTGCTGAAACATTTTTGTCCTCTCTATTATTTTCAAAGTTGTGCTTCACTTACAAAAGTTCCCTTAGATATATAGTTATGATGGTTAATTCATTAGCTTAAAAAGCACATGTCAAGAAATAAATTAAGGAAGAAACAAAAGAAGGAAGAAAGAAAGGAAGGAAAGAAGAATGTAAGTTTTGTTTAAGGTTGTTGGTTGTATGGATCTGGTGACTATACACAAAATTCAGGGAATCCTAGTTCCTAACCATGATCCCAGCAACTGACAGAGGTGTGTGTTCTTGGAAATGTTCCTTAAAACACTATCAAAATCATGTTTTTTAATTTGTATTTTTGCTGCTTTGTAGTGATATGAGCAGCGGGGCTGCGTTCCGGCAGCCCTGGCTCCCACATGGCAGGCTTATGCCCCGAAATAATTACACGGAAACTGTATTCTTTTAAACACTGCCTGGCCCGTTATCTGTAGCCTCTTATTGGCTAGCTCTTACATATTAATCTAACCCATTTCTAATAATCTGTGTAGCTCCACGAGCTGGCTTACCAGAGAAGATCTTAACCTGCGTCTGTCTGGAGTGGGAGAATCATGGCGACTCCTCGACTAAGCTTCTTTCTCCCAGCATCCTGTTCTGTTTTCTCCGCCTAGCTAAGGGTTGGCCTATCAAATGGGCCTAGGCAGTTTCTTTATTAGTAAGAAATCACTCTCACATCACTGCTTCATCTGACAATAATATGTACATAGGAAATATGACATCATTTTAGATATATTCAGTCTAACAGGGCACAAGTGAAATCCCAACATCCCTGGAAGAATTTTTAAAGTTCTACGTATTTGGATTTCTGTTTTCTTACTGCGAGAACAGGCATATTCCAAGAAAGATGGTGCCAGTGGATCAATCTAGCAACATCTGTGAGAATAGAAAAAAAATTAAATTGTTGACAAAATGCTTCATTTTAAGAGCTATTGTAGACTTTGAGACTTCTTCAGTGACAATAACTAAGAAGCATATATATATACCATATGATTGGTATTTGAGTATTTAGATATCCACCTGCACTCAGTGCAGTGAAGTAAG